ATACATAACCCTTTCTTTGCATGACCTCTAAATGTCCATGTGAGCCACTAAAGAACAGAAAAAAAGCTGCGCTACCTTGGCTTTATAGGTGGACAGGCAGGGAATCGAACCCCAACCCTCTATAAGTGGAAGGGACAGCGGTGAACCTTGTAGTTGAGTGCAGCCCTTTGTTAACAGCGAGGGTTAAGAGAGCTGTTTGTGCTCTACATGGAACTGTTTTCCAACTCCCTCTTTGGTTTACATTCTTTCAGCATGTTGTCCCTCTCTAAACCTTTCTGTTCCCCATTCTTCTTTCTCCAATAAGAGGTGCATCATTATTTTTCTATTAAATATGACATTGGGGAATAAAACGCTGTTGTTGTTTTGTTGATAGTTCCATCCATATATACATAGTATATATAGTTCAAGCACTTAGACTTAGAGAGTTGGGCGGGGAACAAATATTATGCTCGTCACAATCATGTAAGTATGTATTTGAAGACAAAAAAAAACCAAAAACAAATGTTGTCTTCAGCATGCAGACTGTGCCAAGTAAAGCCATATTCCTCCAGTCTCTGTATTAATGCTAGCGCTGGGTGACCATAAATCCACTGGAATATACATATACGCACACGCACACATTTTGCAAATTTCAACTGATTGACAGCTTATTTTTGGTCAAAATCTGACTTCCCTCCACATCTGAAAATAAACCTTATGGTATGCACTAACTATGTTAGAAATGTCATGCTTTTCTCATAAAATGCACAATTGTTGTGCTTATCCGCTGTACTACAAATCTAGAAATGTAAAATATGTGATTCTCAAAATAAGCCATTAGGGATAGCAAGTACTTCTACCTTTTGTATTTAAGTATATTTTGATGCCCATACTTGTGTACTTTTATGTAAGTAATATTTACTTTTAATTATGTACTTCTTCCTCCTTTCTGAAAGAGAAGACTGTGTCCCTGTGTACACTGAGGATTTTAAATAGCTTCTGCATTTTGTAATATGACAAACTCATGAGGCACATAATTGCAGCCATTGTAGCAGAGGATTGTTGGCCTGCCTTCGTACTTTCCAAAGTCTTTGAAGTACTCGCCCCCTGAACAGACTGCTTCTGTTTCTGATTAGTCTGATCCCATATTGTGGGGTTGGGGGGGCAGATCCCTGCTAGTTAACAATGTAATGAGCTAAACAAGCCAAACAAAGGAGAGGTAGAGTGAATGGGTCTCCAGAGGGAGCTACTTATTGTCCCATTGCCCCTCTTGTCTTCTGTATCGATTCATGTCTTCCTTCCTAACGCTGCGTCCTCTGTAGCACACGCAGGGCGGGGTAATCAGCTAAATGTAGCCTCTGCTTTCTTATTACTACCTGGGTGCTTAACACTGATATTTCTTCCCCCTCTTCAAGGACAAACGGTGTAGAAGGCAGATCCCGTGTGAAGTCCCCGAGCTCTCGCCGAGCAGCAGATCCCTTTTCAGTGCCAGCTGTTCTCTCAGATACACTCGGCCGTTCTGAAATTCTCTTAATATAATTCTTGTGGGGGGGGGGGAGGCTCAGGAGAATTGTGCAAAACAAGCGTGCCAGCCAGGAGAACGTTGAATTTTTCATCAGCGGCCTCAACTCGCTGAGTTAGTGGGCAGCGCTCTCATTCATGAGCAGATGTTCAGCGCGGTTACACTCTGCAGTTAATGTGAACTTACTGGCCTCTCCGCCATTGGCTGCAAGGACGTTGGCAGCGACCTGGCATCTGAGAATTACTCCCAGTAAAAGACGCGGGGCCTGGAAAGCGCCGGCCTTTTTTAGCCACTTCCCGGCCCCGGGAGCTGGATCCAGGACAGGGGAAGGCTCTGACAGCCCATCCGTCTTGGAACGGACAGTGATGGAGCGCTTACCACTGTTTGCTCGGGGAATAGCGAGCAAATTCCTGAAGATAATGTCCACAAGTTAATTTCTAATGCCTTGCTCAGCAGGTGCCTGTATGAGCATTAAATATAAGTACATGAAAGTACCATCCCCCGTTAGGTATAAACTAGTTTTACATGCAGAGGATCAACTCCAGTACCCTTGAAAGAGGAAATTTGTAGAAAGAAGGCACCTGTGCGGGGGTAACAGTTTGGCCCTGGTAGGTCTATAGCTGAAAGCAGCTGGTGCTGTGGTCAGTGTGTGTGTGTGTGTGTGTTTGAGGAGGAGGGGGGTGTATCCTCTCCACAGCCTGGCACTTCAGACATCTGTATGCCCAAGCTGCTCAGCCTGGGTTTGATGTGGCCATACAGATCTGTAATGGCTCCCTTCTAACTAAGCAAAACGCTTTTTGATTTAAAGTGCCATTAACTGGTCAGAGTGTGTACGTGACATCAGGTTTAGTAGGCGGCATGCCAATCATCTCCTACGTGTGTGTGTGAAAGTCATCACAGTAAAGTTGTGCATATGGGACTCAAACAGTAGAAATGACAAGCTCTTGTTTCCTCCGCTCGTCTCATTTTCACTTTCTAATTGGTCGTTTTCAGGTTGGCTTTACGAGAGCAAAACTAATTAGCGTTTCTAAATTCAGCAGAAAAAAAAAAGAAAGTCAGCCGGCTTGATTGTGCTGGTTTCCTCTCCTGTGTCAGGCGCTCGACAATAAAATAAGACTCTAATCATTTTCAAATTGCTCGTATTTTTGAAGCCCAAAGCTGAATGTCACTCCCGGTCTCTTGGCATTTTGTTTGGCAGGATCAGGGAGCGGCGGTTGCCCTCTCGCCTGTGTACTCTCTTTGTAATTCGTGGGAAGTTTGGACTTCGGGCCGGTGGAAAAAAAAAAGAACAAAAAAAGAAAAGCCTTGTGTGTTTTAGGTGGGGTTGTTTCTGCTTTGATTGGGAACGTCCTGCTGACAGGAGCAGCCGAGCAAGTTTACAGTAGCTGTGACATTGCTGTTACCTTTATTCAAAGTGCTCCAGCTGCAGCGAGCCCTCAGGAAGCAGCGCGGGCCCACATGGGCGGCCCACAGGGAGGAGAGCCAGGCCCTGTTTGAGTTGGCAGACGCCCCCCCTCTCGGGGAACTTTTGCTGCCTCTGCAGAAAGGCCGGTGGTGGCGGTGATTCTGGGGGCAGGATGGGCTTTTTCCACCTCTCCTCCCTTTCAGGAAACACATTTAGCTGTTTCTTCCCTCTGCGTTTGCAAACGAAGGCGTTAAGGTGAAGGGGCATAGGGCAGTAGGACTGTGAGAGGCTGATTTCAAAACAAAAAGGCCCTTTAACAGGTTTCCTACGGTCATTAAAAACCTGGAAAAGTCATGGAAATTCAAAATGTAAATTCCAGGCCCTAGAAAAGTTATGGAAAACAATATTTTTCCCAAAGTTTTGGAAAAGTCATGGAAATGTAACCAAAGTTGCATCAAATATAATTAATATTTTATCTAATTGCCAAAATAGTAATACTATAACGATAATAAATACTGTATCGTATAGTAATGAAATGTAAAATGGCATTTAACTGACGAGGTATTTTGCTGGTGAGAGATTTTAGTGGCTTTAGCCTGTAGAAGCTAGTAAGCCTACTATTTGATTTGTTTTAGATAGGCACAACATGTTTCATATGCAGACCTTATTTTCCAGCTTACCATGTTAAAATAAAAAAATTAGGTAAAAGTCATGGAGAAGTCATGGAAAATCATTGGTAAAAAAGTATATGAACCCTGCTTTAAGCATGGAGCTTCATTTATATTGGATACAACCAGTGTGCTGTTTTTTATTTTCCCATCAACCCTGTTACAATCCAGCCTGCAGAAGCCAGTAATTAAAACATGCCTGATCTGAGGTCAGGGAGGAGCATTGTTTAAATGCAATTAGTGCAAATTAATTTGGACCCAGTTACAGTTTTTGTGTCATTATTTGTTTAATCAAGGGAGTTCCCGTTTAAGATGCTAAATATGTATCCACCACTGTGAAGCTATTTAAGTCTGCTTTAATGAATATTCATTTCAAAGTGACCTGTTTTGAGTCCCTTCACTATTGAGCTCATACTCTGGTGTGTGTGTGTGTGTGTGTGTGTGTGTGGTGTGTGTGTGTGTGTGTGTGTGTGTGTGTGTGTGTGTGTGTGTGTGTGTGTGTGTGTGTGTGTGTGTGTGTGTGTGTGTGTGTGTGTGTGTGTGTGTGTGTGTGTGTGTGTGTGTGTGTGTGTGTGTGTGTGTGTGTGTGTGTGTGTGTGTGTGTGTGTGTGGTGTGTGTGTGTGTGTGTGTGTGTGTGTGTGTGTGTGGTGTGTGTGTGTGTGTGTGTGTGTGTGTGTGTGTGTGTGTGTGTGTGTGTGTGTGTGTGTGTGTGTGTGTGTGTGTGTGTGTGTGTAACCCAAACAGTAGGGCTGCACAATGAATTGTAATTTAATCAAAATCACAATATGTATATCTCAAGAGGTGCAGTATTTGTTACAGCCAAAATATGTGTAATGTATACATTTATATCTGAATTAAAGGGGCCCAATTTAACTCATTTGTAGGTTTCACACGTGTATCTGTAGTGCCTCTACTGTGACTTGTCTCCAGGCTTTAATGTTCAAAAAGCTCTTTATTTCTCTCATACTGCCTGTGCTGCAGCACCTCTTTTCACCCTCTGTCTGAAACCAGAGAGTCTGCTCTGATTGGTTAGCGGGCCAGCTCTGTTGTGATTGGTCAACAGCTTTGAGATGTCCCACCCCTTAGTGTATTTGAATGTGTTGCCAATAGAAGCGCAAGTGTTTTATAGTGATGTCCCTCAAAATCACAACATGATCATTTTAAACAATGATAATGGGAACAATGATGCAAAAGTGATGCAGTTGTGAATCATATCCCCGTTTTAATACCAGGCTCAATAATCCCACTAAGTTATATTGTTATCCAAATCATGCAGCTCTTACCAAACTGAATCTGTTGTGACTTCACTGATTGTGGGAGAATGTCTGTTTTGCTTCACCTTCAAATAATTTCCACTGTTTTTTTCCCCACCCCCTCCTTCCTACCTACTCTCTTCTTCTCTCCTCCTTTTTCTCGCCGGTGCAGCGAGGAGACTCCAGTGGTGACGTCCTGTGGAGCCACAGATCAAAGTAAGTACTTCTGTGCATGTCCGTACACAACAAACACGTGTATTAGCGTCAGTGTTTTCTAACTTGAACCGGTTTTGAAATGCCTTTACAGAGAAGGGCATTGTATGGAAACTGTTGTGCAGCTAAACGATAAGGTTTTGCATAGTAACTGTTCCTGGTTTCCTGATGCAGTTTCATATTTACATCACTTTGAATGATGCTGAGGACAGTGAAGCGGTCAAGCAGTTGAAGTGTTGAGTTGGGAACCTGAAAAGTCAAACTGTTGTGCAGAATCATGTCTGCATTCCCCTGACTATCGTAGAAGTCATTACTCCTTGTGTGGTGTATAAACACGTCAAAAACAAACAATGACCCCGGGCAGACTGCACACTGCAAAACAATTTCAAAGCCCGCCGTGTAGTGTAAACACGAAACACGGACAACCTTCACGCAGCGAAGACTTCACCTTAAACCCGGTGTTTGTTTTATAGTCCCCGTCGACCTTGGTCTGATGCAGTTTACGTCTCCTCGCTTCTCTTCAGGTCCATGTAGCTGACATTCAGGTGGAGGCTCTCACTGGAGCTCACTGAAGGGTTTTCATGTTGTGGTTTGATCGAGGCAGTGGATTTTTGTTATTTAGAAATATTTTATCCATTGAAAAAACATTTTTTGCAGGGCCTCAAAAAGACCCTCTTAAAAGCCAAACTAACAGTTGTTAAAGATATTTTACTTACTTTTTCTTATTAAAACAGTATACCAAAGTGTAGAACTACTCTGTCACAGTTATAAGTCCTGCACTTAAGTAAGTACAAAGCATGGAAACATACTTAGAGTAGTGAAACTGCTAATCCAATGAGGGTGTTCTCACATCTAAATGACTATGTATCACAACATAGTGTGCTGTGTTTTCACAAAGACTCTATTCTTGGATACTACTATGCAGATATTTCAAAAATGATAAATAAAGAATATTTGTCTAATTTCAAGAATTAAACTGCAAAGTGAAATAAAAATACAAAAATAAAGGGAATACAATAAATCCATATTTCCATTTACATGTGTATACCAGTTTGTTTATGAGCTTGAACTGTGATTCAAACACAAAATCTGCTATCTTTAAATGATTCAATGTTCTCATCATTTTCTGAGAAATGTGACAGGGTGTCCGCGGGGTCTTAAAAAGTATTAAAAGTTGATAAATCAATTTAGCGAAAATTAAGGCTATTAAAAAGTATTAAACGGCATTTTCCAAGGTATTACATTTTGTAGCTTGTTTTCAATAAGTATATAAATTGTCCAAAGAGGTTGTATTCTACAGTCTTCCTGAATGTAATCATTGCGTAGGTGTGTAGTGTGATTCTGTGTAGTTTATTTATGGCATCCCGTTGGATTTGACGTCATCTGAACAGGACATCACACGCTCACTGCTTGATAGCGCGAGGAACGTTTACGCCGGTTGTTAAACAACATCGTTATGGGGAAATGCAAGTTTGCGTCCAAATGGTTGGAAGATAAGGAGGAAGGACAATCAATACTGTATATAGTCAATGTGAGGTAAAGTGTGTCGCCAATGTAACCGGTTAAAACTCCAAGTGGCGATGAGGTCTTAACATGTATGGAAAGGGTCTTAAAAAAGGTCTTAAAAGGTATTACATTTGACTTCAGGATTCCTGCATATGCCCTGAGTGAGTTAGTTTGTGCAAGTTATTGTCAATGAAGGAGACATAATTGTATATGCACATTTCTCAAAACAAGTCTTTCCAGATAAGAGTCCTAACAGTCGATACATTAATAAATTAAAGTATTGAATCAATGCCAGGCCTTAACTTCAAGTACAAAGAGTACTAATGATGCAGAATAGCCCATATTAGAAAAACATATATCATTTTTAATAGATTATAATTGTTGATGCAATAATGTGAAGCTGATTTTCATTCATTCATACTGTATGTATTTTATATATAATTTACCATGCTGCTATAACAACTTGTGTATTCCCCTTTGGTACCAATAAAGCCTCATTTATTTATATTTAAATATAAATAAATAAGAATATATATATAAGTAACTGATATTATCTAATATATATAAAGGTGAGAAGTGTAACATCTGCCTCTGAGATTAAGTGCACTAGAAGAATAAAGTAGCCAATTAGTCAAGTTTACTGCAAGTACAAGTACAGTACATATACAAATGTATTTAATTACTTTACACCACCGCTTACAAATACATGCATTTAAAGAGAGAAATTACTGGCGATTTCTTCCAAAAACAACCCAAAATCCTTGATGTTCAAACTGAAATGTTGTTGTACAGCGAGAGTAAACACTGCTCTGCTGGGGCGTATATTTCCCGTATGCATGGAGCGATGAATATGCATATTCCTGTTCCACAGACTCCTCTCTGAGCCGGGGGTGACTGTAGGGCGATGTGAACCCGCGGTTTTAATAAAGCCCAGCTGCCGAATGATCAAATAGTGTCTCTAATTAAGGCCTGCGTGTACACCCGTGTAAAATTCTCCCTGGAATGCTAACAACCTGTGATATTTCCAGAGGAATTTGCCGTGCAGGTCTCAGAGAAGAGAGGAGGAGGTGGAGGTGGTGGTGGTGGTGGTGGGGGGTGGATAGGAGGGTGAGTGGAGTGTTTTGGGCGGGAGGAGGGGCAGTGTTCATGTGGCACGCCAACATGTTGTTCACATCCGTGTCAGATTGAGGCTAATGAAGGCCAGACTGATCCTTGGATGCGAGCCTTAAGTAAATGATCCCTCTTTGAATATATCAGAGCCCCGTAGAAGCGCCATGCAATATGCCATGCAAACCCCCCCCCCCCCCCCCCCCTCCTTAAAGTCTTGCCGTGTTTTTTGGGGTCTGACGAGGCCGGTCAGAGCCGCTGTCACGGTGCGCCATCTTTCCAAATGTACCATCCATTGCAGCAGTATGGTTACATTGGAGCTACGTACGCTAACGTTAGCAGGCTTCTGCAAAACAGTTTGATAGTAAATGGAAAGTATGAGTGTTGTGTCATTTGACAATGTAAATGAGCCACCAAAAAAAAAAAATCCCCCGCCCCCTTAAGAGGGATCGCATTTACATAACAGGCCGGGGTTTGGCACTCATGCAAATTGATCAAACCTCAGTTGTCTCGTTTTTTATTTAAGATTATTTTTTGGCCACCTGTATTTTTATTATAGAGACAGAAAGGGGGGGGGGGGAAACAGAGGGGATGACATTCGAAAATGGTCCCAAGGTTGGAATCAAACGCTGGTCTGCCTCAATGCAATTGTGTAATTTTGTTGTTATTTTGAGTTTTTATTAGATTGAGATAAGTATATACATGAACATATTTAGAAATGACAAGCTAATAAACATTTTACAGCAGAATAATAAAAAAAAAAAAACAGACAGAACTTTTTCACTTCAATTTATCGCCACACTGGCACTTTGCATGTAAATGAATCCTAAACGTGTAATTACGAGGCACTTTTGAATATTGATTGGACAGACAAGGACATAGAAATGAAGCACTTGTGAATGCACCCACACCCCCCCCCCCCCCCCCCCCCCCTCCCCCCCCCACCTCTTTCTAAGCTACTGTAACATCCCATTAATAAATACCTTTCTGGCTCTTTAGTGCCGGGCTTGCCTTACCACTGAGTGAAACAATGTCGTTTGATTTTCTGCTGATATGGCATGTGTACTTCATAGATGGATGGATGGGATGGATCCAATTAGCCATGGTCATTGCTCGTGTATTTAAGCTGACAGCGGGAGTCTAGCACAGAATATCCTTTATTCTGGTAGTTTTGCGAGATGCTCTTGCGAAGGGGCTTTAAAAGCCCATAAAGAGCACATTGTGAAGAAAGCACCTTAGATGGAGATTTGATTTACAGCCGGGGCAAACTTTCTCAATTAGACATAGGAGGGAAATAATTGATTTTCAGTAGGCGGCGTACGATGATGGGGGATAATAAAGTGACCAAGATCCAAAACCTTTTTCTTTTCACTTATTATACACAATCAACACTTCAATTACGTCTGACTTTCACTTAAGATTCCTGGGTTTATTAGCATATAATGCATCTTTTAATACGGAGCACTCACATTCTGCACAGCATGCATTTGCTGCAGGAATCAATCAAACAAATTCTATAGATATATCCCAATATCACACATTACACATTTGTCTCAGGGGGCTTTACAGTGTGTAGTATACCCTCTGTCCTTATAGAATAGAATTGGAGGATGTAGCCCTCTTTATTTGTCACACATACATGCAGCACACAGCACCCACAGTGACATTTGACCTCTGCATTTAACCCATCCTAGGAGCAGTGCACAAGGAATAACTCCCGAAGAAACCCCACAATTAATGGGGAAAATAAAAAAAACGAAATGAGAGGAGGGATCTCTTCCAGGAAGGACAGACGTGCAATCAATATTGTGTGAATAGTTTAAAAGGATAATAAAATTACGACATAGACGATCCAAATGACAAAAATGATGTGAAAATGTATAAAAATGAAGGATCCAGGAATACAAAAAAAAAACCCTTGAGTGTTAAAGCAGGACCAGGGCAACCTTAAATACTGGCAAACTGCCAGACTCAAAAACTCCAGGTATGATCCCCAGATGCTGAATTGGCTGAGTGACATGCATTTATTGGACATGAGTGCATACAGAAAGAGAAATAGACGAAGAAAGGTGATGAAAGTCTCCCAATAGTCCAAGCCTTTAGAAGCATAACTAGGGGTTGGTTCTAAGCCTGAGCCAGCCCTAATTATAAGCTTCAACAAAATGTAAAGTCATCAGACTGCTGTTTCATGTGGAGAAGGTGTCTGCTATTGTACTTTTTAAGAACCCTAGGAACAACTAATAACCCTATATTGTTGGAACAAAATACCCTAGTGGTGCATAATGGTCAAGGCATTTCAGGCAGAGGGGGAGTGTGGGGGAGAGAGACTCCCTCTGGCGTGAACTTTGGGATTTTTCCCTCTGCAGACCATTTACATGCACAAAACACTA